CGTGCGCCCGTCCCCGGCGACGGGCCGGTCCTTGCAGGTTCACTCGGCGAAGCCTCGCGCTTGCCCTGAAGTCCCGTCTGCGCGTGGCGACGAGATGTACCCTCAGCCACACGACTCCACTTCCCGGAGGCCACGCTGCGGAAAGGTCTCCAGGATGGACGTGGAGGCCGGGACGGTGGCGGGCGGCGCCCGGCGGTCAGCCAGGGGAGGCCGGCGCGGCGGTGCCGCTTGTCAGGGCTATGACCGGACGCTAAAGGGCAGGGGCGGTCCAGATAAGTTGTGATGGCCACCCCAAACTGGCGATTCCCCGACAGCTAGGCTGCGCCCCCCGGGGGCCGGTCCGTGCTAGGCTTCCCAGGAGTGGGCACCGTGGGCCAGCGGGCAGGTGAGGGTTGGGCAGGTGGCTGGGCCTCTTCCTTCTCTGGAGAAAATCGGGGGTGGAATCCTGGCCGACAAGGCACTGGCATCCCCGCCCCCCCCCCGTNGGGTGGAATCCTGGCCGACAAGGCACTGGCATCCCCGCCCCCCCAGCACACGGCTGACCCGCGGAGGTAGAGGTCCTGGGGCGGGGCGGGGGTGCAGAGTGATGGCTCGCCAGCCGTGCTCGTCCGCACAGTCACATCCAAGCCTCAGCACTGCCCATGTCCTGCTGTTGCCAAAGTCAATGTTACAGGAGCCTTTACATCCCACTGCCCTGACAGGAGGTGCCTGAAATAACAGGTTCAGAGGAGCCGCGATGGGGCTGCTCGTTTCTGCAGGATCTCTCCCCATGTGTGGCATCCTCCCGAGATCCCCGCTCAGTGTGAGGCCCCCGCAAGGTGAGGACACTGAGGCAGGCGGGTGGGGTAGGGGCCCAGTTTGCTTCCTATGGCCCTTTAGCAGACTGGGGCCCATCTCGACCTCCAGCCTCACTCCCAGGGAATTTAATGATTTTTTTTTCTTTTTTAATATATTTTTATTGATTTCAGAGAAAAGAAATGGGAGAGAGAGAGAGAAACATCAGTGATGGGAGAGTCATTGATCGGCTGCCTCCTGCACACCCCCTGCTGGGGATGGAGCCCCACACCCGGCATGTGCCCTGACTGGGAATCAAACTTCCATCTCCTGGATCATAGGTTGTATGGACAACCGCTGAGCCATGCTTGCCAGGCAGTTAATGGTCTTTTTATTGGGNGGAGAGTCATTGATCCACTGCCTCCTGCACACCCCCTGCTGGGGATGGAGCCCCAAACCCGGCATGTGCCCTGACCGGGAATCAAACTTCCATCTCCTGGATCATAGGTTGTATGGACAACCGTTGAGCCATGCTTGCCAGGCAGTTAATGGTCTTTTTATTGGGAAAAAAATGCTAGAAGTTACACCATGGAACTAACTTGGAACAGACATAGATTGTAAATTCTTGCACAGCACTGTGGAAGTCCACAGCTTCAGCCTCTCCTCCCACCGAGTCCAGAGAGGCTTCCTGATAAAGGTTTCTTTTTCAAATCATGTGCATGGTAGCAGTCTGGTTTCACCCTAGCACTGTGCAGATGTGCCATCAGGGCGTGTCATCGCCATAGAGCTGGGGGGACTTGGCTACAACCTTGGTCCCTTTGAGAAGCCACAGGGTAGAGATGCAGCCTGTCTGTGGCTCCCTGAGGGGTGGGGACACCTGTGTCTCCTTGGCAGCCAGAGGTGGGTGGGAGGCAGTCAAGAGACCTAGGTGGGGTGGATGGGGTGGGGCTGCCCCAAACAGCAGCTCTACTAGGAGTTGGGCCTTTGTGGATCCAAGCCATGGAATCTGAGACAGGGGCCACATTTGACCCGTCTTGTGGGTGCTCCTGTTCCATCACATCCAAGACCTTGCAGCCATCTACCATACACAGTGAGCACAGACATGGTCTCCACTCCCCACCTACCAGCAGAGCCAGTCCTATTTTGTGCCCCAGCAACCTCAAGGTTCCTACAAAGCGGGGAGACGGGTGAAGAGAAGAGTCATGCAAGACCCAACTCCCCAAGACCCTTCAGGACCAGTCCTCCGTGCCAGGCCTCCTGATACCCTGTGGACCCCTGAGCCATTGTCTGCCCCTCCTTGGCTCTTGCTATCTGCTCTGGTCCACACCCTGGCCTTGCCCCCATCTCTCCTTTCCCCAGGCTGGCCTTCCCACCCTAAGGACTCCTGGGAGCCAGTGGAGACCCAGAGAGTCACATGCAACCTTTTCTGCACCTTGGACAGAAACTCCTCCACTATCCCAGCTTCCACCTTGAGCCCTCCTGATCCCTCAACCTGATGCCCTATCCTGTCTCCCCCTAGTCTCCCTGCTTCCTTGAGCTCCTTCCCACTGGTGTGGCCTCTGCTATCCCTCAGTCCCTCCACAAATCTACCCCTCCCACTAAGGAATGATCAGTGGCCTCCGCCCTGCTCCTACAGAAAGGGCAACCATGACCATCCTCCCCTCATGTCTTAGCCCCTAAATTGCCCTCCCCCAAACCTCTGGTCATGTTATGTCCTGTCCTGCCAGGCTGGCTCCCCCACTCTTAATCCTGATCAGGCTGTGACTGTAAGTGTCCCTGGTCTTTCGGGTCAAGATGGTGAACTGAACCCATCCTTACTTGGTTCAAAAGCCCACTGAGACCAGAGGAGAGTGTATGACAAGCCCTGTGGACTTCTGAGGACAGGGAGGCAGAAAGCCCATAGCACCGGCATTCTGCACCTAGAGGGGAGGGCAGCTGCCACTGACAGAGTCAGAACCAAGCTGGCACTAGGGTGACCAGGCTTATGCTGCAAAACTTGAGAAGGCTTGAAAACCAGAGGTCTCCTGAGACGGGGAGAGATACTGGAGAACCTGTTAGAGCCCCAGGTCTCCCCACATGGTGGATGGTGAAAGAGTCATTTCTGGGGAATCCAGAGTCCCTGAGAAAAGGCCTAAGCCCCCACAGAACAGCCCAGTCTAACGATGCTACTGGGAATTGTTGACAAGCCCCAGCCATGCACATGCTCAGAGCTTCCTTCCGATCAGTGTTGAAGACGACAGCTTTGTATGTTTGTTTGTTTTTTATTTTACATAGNTGGGAATTGTTGACAAGCCCCAGCCATGCACATGCTCAGAGCTTCCTTCCCATCAGTGATGAAGACGACAGCTTTGTATGTTTGTTTTTTATTTTACATNGCTTCCTTCCGATCAGTGTTGAAGACGACAGCTTTGTATGTTTGTTTGTTTTTTATTTTACATAGAGAGAGAGAGAGAAACATCGATGCATCAACACTGATTGGCTGCCTCCTGCACGCCCCCGACCAGCAATCGAACAGGGGACCTCTTGGTCCATGGAACGATGCTCAACCACTGAGCAGCACTGGCCAGCAAGACACAGATCATCGCGAGCTGGCAGCTAGGGGTTCCTAGGTATCAGAAGGAACCAAAACATACAGGTAGATGCATTTTAGGATTCAGTAAATAAGTCATGTTTCAGGCACTTGATGTGTGGAAGGAAAACGGACCTCATCCCAGTCAGATTTAAAAAATAACACTGCCTATTGAGATAAACTAAAAATAAAGGCCACCTTACTAGTTCTGGCCCCCAAAGTAAGTAAAAGGTTGAGCACGTCCCATAAGCCTGGAGAAAAACATCATTTCGCAGTGCAGTACTGGCATCTGAAGACGTGTCTGACTCGGTATATAAACCATGGGGCAGTTTCCTCATCGGTGTAAACGGGTGCCCACCGGGAGGGCGCTCAGCGGAGGTCGAGCGAAGCCCCAGCGCCCTCCTCGCTGGAGAAAGCCCGCGGATCAGGCGGGCCTCCCCAGCGGGACGCAGAGGAGAGTCTGCGGGGCTAGTACACGGCCCAGCCCTCGGCGCAGGGGAGGGAGACGCTCCAGCTGTTGCCTTGGAAACTGCAACAGGCGGGCGGGCGGGCTCTAGTGGTTACCAAGGGGACCACTCGGAGACCAGAAACATCTCAAGCACCGCGCTGGGGGAGGGGCCTGGGCAGAGTGCCAGCTCTGATTGGCCGAAACGTCACCGTCTCTCACTTCGCTTACCAATAGGCTCTCTGTCCGCTTTGCACATGCGCAGGATTTTAACGGCCCATCTGGGCATTTGGTGAGTCCTAGGACCCGGATGCAAAGAAGGATAGCCGCCAGTGAGGGAAGGGAGTCTCCCCAAGCTCAGCTACTCCACAGGTTTTTCTACGAGGACCGGAGCGGTTCTCAGTCGTGAGAGGCCTCTGAAAATGAGCCTCCGCTGGCGGACGCCGCGCCTGTCCTTGCTGCTGAGGCTCATGGGAAACGTAGTCCGGAGGGAGGGGGCGGTGCCTTCGGGGCAGGGGTCTGATTGGCCAGAGCTGCGTCGCCAAGGCAACGAGCGGGGTGGGGCGTGGCGTCCCGCGAAAGGTGGGAGGGGCCGCGCGTTGCCAGTGACCGGAAGTGGCCTCGGGCGCTGGCGAGGGGATTGAGGTGAGCGCGGGCCCGGCTGGGCGCGGCTTCTTCCACCTCCCAGGACCCGGACCCCCTCCCAGCGCTCGGGAGCCCCCGCCGACCTCCCCAGGCGCCCTGCGCGCCCCTCCCACCCGTGGTTCCGCCTCCGCCCGGAAGACTTCCCCCCTCCTTCCATGCTGCGGAGACAAACTCGGGAGTCTAGTCTCGCGGGTCGGACCGGGCCCTCCGGTGGGCTTGTTTCACTCCGGACCCTCTTCGGGGCCGGGCCCGGGTTGCGCTCTCAGGACTCGGCGCCGCCCGGGGTTCCGTTTCGCTTCGTTTTTGCTTTTCACACGCACGGTCCGGACGGTGCGAGTCGTCCAGTCAGCTGTGGTCGCGGGCACGGAGCCCCCGG